ACGGCTCTCTGGACCACGTTCTGATTGGGTGACGTCATTGTTACGTTCAATTTAGAGTCGCGGCTGGGTGATACTTTGGGTAGGGTGCGATGGGAATGATTCGCGACCTGGGTCGACCTTTGATCAGCTGTTTTCCCTCATGCTTACTTCTGCGATCTACTAAAAAGTCCACAAACTTCTTAGTGTCGGGAATGTATAGTTTCCGTTCCATCGTGCTTAAGTCAGAAAGGGATACCGTGGCAACATGAGTGACACGTTCACGGTCTCTTTCAGAAATGAATGCGATGTTCCTTCTGCACACTTTATATACACTTCGATTTCTGACGTATCTCTCACGATAACGGGTAAGTACCATGGCTGGTGAAAATAATAATTGGGTCCGTCTCTCAGATCGAGTCGTCTCAATTAAGGTAGATAATTCTCACCCACGTGTGAACTGTCGCACTGATTACACAACACGTCAATGGTGGTATTATTGATATCTTTCAACTCGACTCGGCCTAGTTTCATTTCTAACAGAGCCACCATCCACATGCCATCCAGTTTCAAATGTGGAGACAGTTTCACCTGGAAACGGTAAGGCGTGTTGTCTGGATAATACTCCCGGGAGTCTGCACTGTTAAACACGATGTATTTATCCATTTTACTTGTCCTTCAATTCGCTTGCTTCTACCCAGGAATCAAAACTGGATGGCCAGCCTGCCCACAATTTCCCTTTGTCTTTCTTTTCTTTAACACTTTTTCAATATCCCATGCGGCATCTAGATCTTTATCGACACGCTGTAATTCTTCTTCGTAAAAGCGTCCCTTTAAGAATTGGTCGTGAAAATCTTTCAGTGTGTATAAAGGAATACCCTGTCGTCGATAACGGGCTGCTACTTTAAATAACTCTTCCGTCCATCTCAAGTTGTGTTCCTTAGCGAAAGGTTTTCTCAAATAACTGATTCTCACGATATCCCCTATTTTATATTGAAAGGGATGGAGCTTGTGTGTCATGTATGGTGATGGTTTTGTGTATAAATGATTCCATACTTTGATTTCATTTCGCTCATTCACATCTGCAGGAGCCCACTCGCCTAAACTTCTGTGTACGGTGTGACTAATTATACACTAAATCGGATAGCACGTCCACATAGCGCTGGGTGTTCTTGTGTGTCAGATACCTCGCTATGAGTGACCTCAACGTTCGAATGACTCTCTCGGCGTAATTCGCTTTAATGTCTTCGTTCTGAGTGACGAACAGTTTGATCGACTGGTGCTCTATAAAATCCTGGAATGCCCCTTTAAATTCCGTACCTTTGTCCACTCTGATGGTTTGTGGCTTGCGACCGTGCGACGAGATATCTTTGAATGCCTCGACAGTGGACTCAGGTTTCTTGTTTTTTAAAGGGGCTACCCATAGATAGCGTGACAAAATGTCAATGGCTATCAGCAGGTAACGTATACCATCGTTCACTTTAACATAGCGACTCATGTCCATCAGATCGACATCCCACTGCTGATCTATTCGGTTGACGAGTACTCTGAGTCGTTGAAATTTGCGTTTCACCGACTTATGAAGCGTGTAAGCATCGTGCTTGCTCAATTCGGCTTTTACCTTGGACACGCCAACCGTTTTCCCACGTCTTTTTAAACTTTGTTGAAATTTGGAGGCACCGTAATACGCACCCGGGGACTTGGGATTAAAGTAATAGCTCTCCAACTCTTTCTGACGAGACGACGACGGTGTTACATGTGACTTACTAGACATGTTTCTGTCTCGTGAGGTAAACTCAACTGTGACCGCCCCATCTGGGCACACTCTCTTTATATACACAACAATGATAACAGACACATGCATTGTTCAATACTATTATTTATTACATACAAGGCAAACATGAGTGTACAGCTATTGAGATGCTACTTCAGATTATATAAAACAGCATACCGTTCACCGGAATGCTCTTTCTAAATACAACATTTTCCATACACGGTCCTGTATGTCTTTTAACCAGTCACCTGTTTTGAAGTGAGTGTCCAGATGGTCCTCACACCGATACTGACAGATAGCGTAGGAAGACACGCTGCTTACGCTTGGATCTTCGTGAATCAATCGAATCCATTGATCAATCACACGATCGTCATTCACTTCGTCTAAGGCTGTATTTATGTATTGGTGTATTTTGTGTTGGTCAGACAAGTCCTGACAAGTATGGTATTGACTGTCAGTTTGTTCAAACATGCAACCGAAACACAGTTGGACGGCGAGTCGTTTGATAATTTTACACAGTTCCACAGTATAGCATAGCGTCAGTAACGACAACATGTAGTCAGTGACTTCAACCGATTCCACTTCATCTACGACGATAGCTTTCATCTTCTTAGTGATGATTCGTTTTAACTTCTTATCCTCGTTGGGGACTTTCATCTCGGCATCTTGTATACAATGTTCCCGATGTTGAAACCATCTAGACGACTGTATAACGATGGTTTCGTGGATCCGATCGGGTTCGCGTTGCACGTACTTCCAGGTGCAGAAAGTCATTCTGTCACTCGACATTCTATATAGGATGGAAGTTTTCTTTCTCAGCTAGCATGCAGGGAAGGATGTGACTCGTAAGGAAGTCTCATGCCTGAATGAAACAGTATGCGTGGTGTACTTTCTTTTTATATCGGTTATATTTAGAAAATGATATCATGATGCAGTCAACGTATAGTCTGCACAGTCACATTTCATTATAACGTACACATACTGCGTGGATTGTATGCCATACAGTCATCCAGTAGCGTCCTGACTTTGAGCAGCTGACGCCATTCTTCTGGCTTAAGAGCCATGCCTTTGCGCGTCGGTTTTACTTCCCGTTCGCCATCGGGTAGTCACCACTGCCGTATATCCACGACTTTGTTGGGCGAGTTCATGGTTAGGAAAACGTTACACCCTAACGGTAGACAGAGAGAGCAATCTTCCTTGTTCAGGATTTGACTTAACGAGTCTGACACAGTCTTTTCAATAACCTTCAGCTGCGCCCATTGATCGAGAGATAAACAAATACCTGCCTTGGTGGGATAGAGTAAGCCTTCAGCACTCCATTCGTATTGACGAATGTCTATTTTCAACTCTCCACTCCAACGGGTAGCCTTGATGTAGCGACTACTGCTGATATGAAACATACTCTCTCTGTGTTCTTCTGATGAACCCACTGCTTGCTTTGTGGATCCCGTAGATGGACTTGTACTGCTCGTTGCCATGACTCAAGGAAAGTGCTGTGATCTTCTAGGTAATAAGCGATAACACCGAGCAAAGTGAAAAGCATTCAGTGTGGTACGGAAGGTCTCTGCGCTGTAAATGATTCCCTTTTGGATCAAATCTGTTTCATATACTGCGGGCCTAGTCACGTGATGCACACGTGACGTGGTAGACGTGTTCAAACATGTCTAAACACGTGAGTCTATAGGAGAAAGTAATGTCATCATAGATATGAATAAACCTGCTTCGACATATATTTCCAATGAAACATTTTCCTCGTGAAACATTTTTCCATGATAAACTCTGTTCTCTCTTCGAATTAAGGGAGAGTATTGTAAACATGAAAATGTCCTATAGATTGCTTCCATCACTTTCCCAACAAACCTAGCTTCGTGCCGTCACAATGCTACATGTACTTATCAGTTTTCTATCTATTTTCAAAATTGCATGTTACACGGTTAAAACTCAAACCGTAGGGCTTATTTGTCATAGATTAAATGGAAAAGCTAGCATTGAAACTATGCAAGTCGGGACAGGGTTGAATAAGTGAACGCCCTCTATACAAATGGTTCACAATAGTACGCAGCGCGGGTGATTCGAAATCCGGCTGCCTTCAGCAGGGTGACGTGACTACCTCGTTGTTGCGCGCTAAACGTAAACTTCACCGCTAGCTTGCTGATTGCTTAGTCTTATCTATTTTGTCTATATTTTTTTTCCATACAGGTTGTCCAACGTTCATGGTGTACATGGTGTACAACGTGTAGACCGTACAAGATGAATTTGATCCAGCTAGACGTACATTTTTTTTCCCTACCTATATTACCCGGCGTATATCATGTTGACACAACCCGTCTCTATTGCGGTATGGTCGTACTTTCAATACACACCCTGCATTCATTAAACCACGTCGCACGCTCTCGCGAGCGCGGTCAATTTGAAATGACTACATGAGTTGTACACTAACTGTAATTTCTACTAACGCCTGAAATTAACGAAACCATTATGACCAATAAACAATTTGAAAGTTGTCAAGCGCGCTCAATTCAAACTGGGCTGCTTGTCTATTCAGGGCAACACGCCATACACATAGCTCTAGTGAATACCCTTTACTTTTGTTTACTTACAAATTCTTTTCTGCCTTATAAACACACACCCCCGTGGTGAGTGCTGGGTAACGCTAATAGCTCTTCCCCCGTGTGGACTCGGGGTAGAATTTGTCCACAGCACCCCATTGCTGGTCGTAAAAGGCGACCAAATTGGGCAACCCGTTTGCCGTGGGTTGCGCCCCTGTGTCGGCGGAGGACGGGATTCTGGTGGTTGAGGGCATTGGAGCCAGGAACAAGTGTTCCTTTTGCCCAACACACTACTTCGACCCTTACTTCGCCTAGACGGGTGGTAGAATTGGCCCGATTCTATCAATCGGCTGGTCACGTCATGCCCTAGCATGAAATACATGGCTATATTATTAAGAATATAATTGCACGCTAAACTTTGTTGTCAAAATCATTGTTTTGTTCGTATGCCAGAAGGCGGTGGCTCATGGGCCAATCTGGAGATAGAGACCTCTGAATTCTGTGTTTCTTGGGGAAAGTGTTATGGGCCGAACCAGCCTGACGCTTATTCTTTTTGATCTCATAGCTTTTCAAGTCTATATTTTCTGGAGTATAGCACCTCTGTATCCCTGGTGTTGCAGGTTGGCTTCCACTGTGACATCGTCCTTGTTGACACTCGATGGCGGGTGGGGAGCAGGGGTGCTGAATCACTACATAACACCATGGCTCACCACAATCTATCTGGTTCTTTCAAAACAAATAAACGTCGTCATGTCGATTCTTTAACGTCTGACGAAGAAGAAACATCAACTGAGATTGCAGATTCTTGGCCGAGATTCATTGTCATCGCATCTGCTGATGGCAATCCTTTAAAACTAAATCCTTTCGCTATGTCGAAAGGCATTCAAAGTGCCTGTGGAGAAGTTACCAATGTTACACGTCTTCGTTCTGGTTCCATCCTTGTGGAATATGCACGGAGACAACAATCTGTCAATCTGCTGGGTCTACAGCAGTTTGTTAACACCCAGGTTGTTGTTTCGGTGCACAGGACACTAAATTCAAGTAGAGGCATTGTCAGGGACCGCGCACGCTGTCTTTCTGACATGGCAGAAGAAGAGATTGCTGCTGAATTGAAACATCAAGGGGTCACTGCTGTTAAGCGGTTCAGTAGAAAATCAGAAGATGGAAAATTTATCCCAACTAACACATATCTTTTTACTTTTTGTCTTGCTAAAATACCAAATTCTATTAAAGCCGGTTACTTTAACATCGGAGTGGAGGTTTATGTTCCAAATCCTCTCCGGTGTTACAAGTGTCAACAGTTTGGACACGGGGCAAAAACTTGCACTCGCAAGGCCAGATGCTTCCGTTGCAGTGGAATTCACGAAGGTTCCGAGTGCACAGATGATGTCAAGTGTGCCAACTGCGATGGGGAGCATGTGGCCTCATCCAAATCATGTCCAGTGTTCGTATCAGAATCACAGATCTTAAAACTGAAGCACACGCAAAATATTTCTTATTCTGCTGCCAAACAATTGGTACAACTTCCATCAAAATCACCCGCAAATATCACTTATTCAGCTGCAGTCTCTTCTCCGCCGCCAGTTCTCAAAATTACTACAGCCTCTACATCCTGCCAGACTTTGATCTCTTGGGTAAAAGATGACCAGTTTACCATCGACGATGCACAGACATCTCAATCTATGAAGTCTACTTCAGCTTCCCAGACAGACCATTTAACATCAGCACCTCAGCTTCTGCAAACTCAGAAAACGGTACCTCCATCAGAACCCAGCCATGTGAAAGTCACCAAAAACATTCAGGGCGAAGCCCATCTGACTAAAACGGAAAAAAAGAAGTTAAAAAAGATAAGGGCTCTCCAGCACTTGGATTTGCCTTCTCTTGCTGACACCACAGTAGAGGTTCATAATCCATTTGAGCCTCTAGCGATGGAGGTCAGTCCCTCACTCCCGGTTCGTGGGAGTGGACCTCCCTCTCACTCAAGAACTCCAGTTGAGCCTCCATGAATGGCTCCAATACTCTTATTCAGTGGAATTGCAGGGGACTAAAGAATAATTTTAATGATTTACAGTTATTGATACAGGATTTTAAACCATCAGCATTTTGTTTACAAGAAACGTATTTTAAAGATAATGATCAAATCAACTTGAGGCAATATGATGCATATAACTTCTTTTCTCCTCCAGGACCTAGGGCTAATGGAGGATCGTCAGTGTTGGTGAGGCAGGGTGTCATACATAGCCCTGTTCCACTTAATACTCCACTTCAAGCTGTTGCAGTCCGTTTAAGCCTCAACATTGTTTTCACATTGTGTTCGCTTTATGTACCTCCATCTTCTACTCTTCACCAAACTGATCTTCAGGCACTCTATGACCAGCTCCCCAAGCCCTGTATCATTATGGGCGATTTGAATGGGCATAATTCACTTTGGGGTTGTGCTGACACGAACAGTAAAGGTAAGCTATTAGAAGATTTCATTTCGAACAACGATTTATGCATCTTTAATGATAACTCTAAAACTTATTTCCATCCTGGAACAGGCACTTATTCTTCTCTTGATTTATCACTTACCAACTCCGATCTGTTGAATGAATTCGAATGGTCAGTCCACGACGACCTTTGTGGAAGTGACCATTTCCCGACTATTCTTCAAACAATAATTCCAACTGATGTTCCTCCATCATCATGATGGAACTTCACAAAGGCTAACTGGCCTTTGTTCAAATTACTTTGTACGAGCAAATTACATACTGATCTTTTTGTTGATGTTCCTGATTCTATTACGGTGTTCACTGATGAACTGTACAAAATAGCTGATGATTGTATTCCAAAGTCCTCTGTAAATCCACACATCCGTAAACCATGGTTTAACAATGACTGCAGGCAAGCTAGGAAGGCACGGAAAAAGGCTGAGCGTTATTTCCGTCGCCATCCGATGGTCCATAATTTGAATCATTTTAAAATTTCAAATGCTAATGAGTGAGTGAGTGAGTAAGTGGTGCTTTAAGCCGCATCAGCAATATTCCAGCTATTCGCGGCTAGAAAAACAAAATTACTTTCAGACAACATTATTTAAAAATGATGTCGAAGATCACTAAAACTTCAGTCCGATATCACAGTAAACAGTTAAAAACTGACAGTCAAATCTAAAATCTACATCTTGTCATACAGTTTAATTTCTTTCAAATATGCTAAAACTAAGTGGTTAGAAATGGTATTGAAAAGTTCAGAAACAGTTTGAACAGTATAAAATCGTTGCCGAATAAGTGCAAAATCCACACATTCCAACAAAAGGTGCTTGATAGTCAAAGGACTATTGCAAGGAATACATTGAGGAGGGTCCTCTCCCTTTAATAAAAAAGAATGAGTCAAATGACTGTGTCCAATGCGACATCGTCTGATAACAACTTCATCTTGGCGACTTAATCCAGTAGGGCCATGATTTCCAATCAAGGGCTGGATGGCATGAAGCTTATTCAATGTTAGTTTATTCCAGTTTTGTTGCCACATACTTCCAACATATTGGCATATAGCAGGTTTTAGGTCTGTGTACGGGAAAATACCCGTCGAGAACGATTTCCCAAGAGCAGCTTTAGCTGCAGAATCTGCTTTGGTATTTCCACTGATGCCAACATGACTGGGGAGCCAACAAAATACGATGTCATTATTTGCCACGGACAAATTCATGTGACATTGCAATATTTCAACTAAAAGAGGATGGTGAGTTTTACGGTTGTTGATTGCTTGTAAACAGGATAAACTATCAGAAAAAATAATAAAGCTGGACTCATTTGAACGATTAATAAGCTGCAAGGCTAATAGTATAGCCTTAGCCTCTGCCGTAAAAATTGAACTTCCATCGGTTAATCGTAACGATAGAGTGCCATCATTTGTAACAGCTGCAGCTGACACCTTATCACCATTTTTGGATCCGTCTGTGTATATGCTTGTATACCCTGTATATTGATGTCTAAGTTCTAGGAAGGCTTGTTGGTATGACAACGAGTTCGTATCTGCCTTTTTCATGTTTGTTAACTCAAAATTGACTGTAGGCTGTATTGACTGCCACGGTGGCACTTCAGGTAGTTTATACGTTGCAATAGAAGACATGTTTAGATCTGCATCTATAATGTGCTGTTGAATACGTATACCAAGTGGAGGAATTGAGCTGGGTTTCTTATCATACAAAGGCTGATAAGGAGGATGAAAAACGATATTAAAAGCTGGATTGGATGGGTTGGAATGAAGTTTAGTAACGTATTGGAGTGCCAGTTTTATTCTTCTGATATCGAGACAAGGTTCATTAGCTTCAACATATAAACTTTCAACAGGGGAAGTTCGAAATGCACCCAGACACAATCTAAGACCTTGATGGTGAATAGTGTTAAGTTCTTTAATGTATGATTGTCGGGCTGAGCCATATATGAAACAACCATAATCTAGTTTAGATCGAATCAATGTTCTATAGAGATGTAACAGAGTTTGTTGGTCTCCGCCCCATTTTGCATTTGATACCACCTTAAGGATATCAAGTGCTTTCAAACATTTAGCCTTTAGATTTTTTATATGAGGTATAAACGATAACTTATGATCAAAGGTAAGACCCAAAAACTTGGTTTCTTTGACCACTTTTATAGGAATATTATTCAAAGTCAATTCTGGATCTGTATGTAATTTCCTTTTAGTGCAAAAATGAATACAACAGGTTTTAGTTTTAGAGAACTTAAAACCATTTTCTAGAGACCATTTTTGTATTCTATTTAGGCAAAGTTGTAATTGCCTTTCAATGGTATTCATATTTCTACCACGGCAAGATACATTGAAATCATCAACAAATAACGAACCATCAATATTTTCATTTAAAACCTTTGCAAGGCTATTAATTTTTATGCTAAAAAGTGTCACTGATAAAATACTGCCCTGAGGGACCCCCATTTCTTGATCATATATCTCAGATAATGCGGATCCCACTCGAACTTTAAATTGTATATCTTCTAAAAAACGTGCAATAAAATCAGGCATACGACCACGAAGACCCATAATATGCAGATCTTTTAAGATGCCATATTTCCATGTTGTATCGTATGCCTTCTCCAAATCAAAAAAGATTGATACAACATGTTGTTTATTAATAAAACCATTGCGTATAAATGACTCTAATCTAACTAAATGATCAATGGTGCTCCTCTGGTGCCTGAAACCAGACTGAATATCAGTTAACAGGTTATTAGATTCCAAATACCAGACAAGACGCTTGTTGATCATTCGTTCCATGGTTTTACAGATGCAACTTGTTAAAGCTATTGGACGGTAATTAGAAGGATTCGCGTGATCCTTCCCTGGTTTGGGCACGGGAATGATAGTAGCCTCATGCCAAGATGACGGAAAATTACCCGATTCCCAAATATTATTGAAAATGTACAAGAGGGTCAACTGAGACGACACAGGTAGATGTTTCAAAAATTGATAATGGATATCATCTGGCCCACATGCTGTATCATGAGCTTTATGTAGAGCCTCTTGCAGTTCACTTAAGGAAAAAGATTCATTATAATCTTCAGAATTATCGGATTTGAAATTAAGAATCTTCTTTTCCTGCTGATTTTGATATCTTTGAAAGTTAGGATCATAATTGACAGACGATGAATTCTTACTGATTGTTTCCGCAAGCTTATTAGCGATGTCCTGTTTGGAAGTTAATGTTTCATTATCAGCTGTTAAGTGTTGTACACTGCTAGAAGACCCTTTACCTTTTATCCTACGAACCATATTCCATACTTTATTGAGTGGAGTACGTGAAGTCAGTTTGGAAACAAAATGTCTCCAGCTGCTTCGTCTGTTTTGCTTAATGGTTCTACGAGCTTTTGCTCTTGTAATCCTTAAGTGTTTTAAATTATCTTGAGTCGGGTGTTTATTAAAAACTCTTTCAGCCTTCTTCCTAGTCTTTCGAGCTTTTTTGCAATCATCATTGTACCATGGTGTACTAACACGTGGAACCGTCGAGGTTTTTGAGATTGTTTCAGTGGCAATGGTGAGTAATGTTTCAGAAAACAGTTTGATTTGATCACTATCATGTAGGAAATGATCAACTTTCAATTCAGTATCGCACAAAGAACTAAAGGACAGCCAATCAGCCTTGGAAAATATCCATTTGGAAATTGAACTATCCACAAAGGGACACATAGCTTTAAGCACGGTAGGAAAGTGATCACTACCGCACAAATCACCATGAACTGACCATGAAAACTCATTATACAGTGATGGGTCAGAAAAGGATAAATCCAAAGCTGAATATGTACCTGTTCCTGGGTGGAGGTAGGTGTTACTTCCATCATTAAGCAGACATAGACTATGCTTATCAAGAATGTCTTCAAGTACTTTTCCCTTGTCATTACGTGTAGATGAACCCCATAAGGGATTGTGACCGTTCAAGTCTCCCACAAGAAGGAACGGCTTGGGAAGCTGGTCAATCAGATTGTCCAGATCCCTGATTTGGAGAGCGTATGATGGAGGTATATATAAAGAGCACAGTGTAATTGCAATATGTAAAGTTATACGTACTGCAACGGCTTGTAGGTTAGTATTTAGCGCAATAGGGCTATGTAGTGTACCCTGTTTCACCAGTATACTGGCGCCCCCAGAGGCCTTACCATTGGTAATCCTTGCAAATGAATTGTAGGTATCATATTGGCGGAAGTTAAATTGTTGATCATCTCTTAAAAACGTTTCCTGAAGACTAAATGCCACAGGGTTATAATCTTTAGCTAAAAGTTTAATCTCTTCAAAATTAGCTCTAATACCTCGACAATTCCATTGTATTAGCGTATTTGTCATTTAGGGTGTGTTATTGGTGAGCGCTCCCGACCTTTCTTCTTAGGAGAATGGCTCCTGGAGCGGGTGCTCTGATGGGGTGACACGTCCATGTCATCTAGAATACCAAACCTGTTGAATATGGACACAGGATCTCTTTGTCCCTTCGGTATACGATCAGATTTATTTTGTTTCT